GTGCTTCCTGAGCACAAGGTTGTAATCAAAGCAGTCAGCAATTAGAAATCACAGGGCCTCCAACTCCCACAGAATTTTGGGTACAAGCAGCTCTGACAGCGGACAGAACTGTTGTCAGATACTTTGTGAGAAAGCGTTGTCAGTAGTAATGTCTGCCTTAATGACATCTAGAAACAGCTGTCTTTCTCCAAAAGACAGCAATATGTCTATGCCTGCCAAATACACATAAGAAGATGCTTACCTACCATTAACAAAATTACACTTTCCTTATTGATGGAAAAGATCTGTTCGCATTTTGAAAAGAATGTATTACAGAACTAGCGAAAAGCTATTGAGAAATAGCATACAGATGCTTCAAAGCAGGCATTTAAATTTGCCTCCCTCAAGAGTGGGTACAATTATCCTAAGGAGGATAATGATCTTTCTGAACACTTCTCAAAACAAAATTAAATATGAGGTCCTTGAATATTAAAAAAATATATGCCACACACAATTTGATGGAAGAGAAGAAGATATGACATAAAAGCAAGCTAATAATAGTAGGGTATTATAATCTTCCAAAAGGTTGGGAACCAATAATAGTAAGATGGGTACATTATATAGATTCACTGGTAGATTCCTTTTTAATGAGTTCAGAACCCTGTACCAAGAAAATCACCAAAGCAGTTACTAGATTAAAATGTAAAATCTGGCAATTATGAATTGCATAAATTTTCTGTGAATTCTATCTTCAAGTTTTGAATATATTTTGTCATTAAGAATTTTCTAGATGTCTCAAATGTATTCAAAAGTCTACAACAACATTGTTCATTCTTTGAATAAATATAAATTGCTAGCATACTATATAGTACACAATGCACGTGAAAATGTATATATCAACAATGTATAAGAGTGCAGGTTTTCCTGGGCATTTCTAATAGTATATTTTTACAAAGCACCTCTGGGGACCTCATATTGGTAAATAAAATATGTTTCTTATTATACCTTATTATTTCCTGGAAGACTAGACTAAAAAGACTAAATACATTTGCATGGGTTCATTGGCTATCTAATTATTTGCAATTCTAGTTCGAATAATCTGCATATATCCTTCCACTTTTCCTGGTCATTCTGTTCTGTAATGGCTCTTTATGTAGTACTGTGTTATTTATGTGCAATTGCTACCTTTGAGTAGGAGCTTCTACAGATAGAGAAATTTGCTTCATACCAGAGTGTTAATATAAAACATACCAGTTGATATAAGACATATCTAATAAGATCTATGTGTATATCATTTTTTTCATGCTATTTGCATGTTCTGTTTCTGCATTAGATCTTATTTTATGTCCACTAAACCAGATTAGACTTCAGTCAAACATGTTCTGGGAGAATCTGAATAGCAATATTTTTCAAAGATCAATAGAGAAGTTGGACTATAAATCTTGACTTAAAACAAATATACAAAAAGCCCTAGAAGATATTTATTGTTTTCTTAAGCTTTCCATTATTATTTTCTGTTATTCTTTTCAATTATTCTTGGTTTTAGAGTATCATCTTTGGAATATTTCAGATGTTATTCCTGAGATAGCTCTGTTTTGGCATCTTAGCCAAACTTTATCATCATTTGCTTTAAAAAAAATCTGTGCAGGCATACACAATTATGTCCTGGAACCTTGTGAATATGACAGCAATGCTGACCTTTTCACAAGAAATGGCAAAAGCTAATCTGAGGAAATACCAGAGCTGCACAGAAACTTGGGCCCCCATTCTCAATGATAAACTATTAACATCTCTGCAAAATTATTCTCTCCTTGTGACTCAGAGTTGACAAGCGTTCACTGCATACCTAATATATGCCAGATGCTTTAACAGGCAACCTTTCTCCCAGTATTAACCACTGATCTTTGACATAGGTATCCTCATTTCCCTGAGGAGATTATAACTCAAATAAGTTACATGTTTCCTTCATAGACGCACACACACACATTATGTAGCAGAGATGACTCAAAGCCAAAATTTTCAGCCCGAACAATCTACTGTTCTTAAAAAGTTTATTACTATTCATTATTGTGTTTGTCACACACACACACACACACACACACACACACACACACACACACACTTGAGCATACCCATGACTTGGGAGACAGTGCATGTGCCCAAGCAAGTATATGGAGACCAATTCTGTGGAGAAGTTTTTCTTCTACTACTTTTACATGGGCTCCAAGGACGGAACTCTGATATCCAAACTTGAGCAGCAAACACCTTTGCCTACTGAGCCAGCTTACTGGTCCAGTTCTTCTTTTAATTGGGTCACAACTAGTCTCCTCAACCACACTGCATGAGGTATGTGAATTCCCTAAAGTGATTTATGGCTTCTATTCCAGTACCTCCTCCCTTGAAAATATTTGCTCAAATTTTGTCGAATGAGAGTAGACAAAGACAGAACTGCTACCCAAAATGTATACCTATTTATAATCAAAACAGATAATGTGCCACCTACACTAACAACGGTAACGCTCACCATGTATTAAGTGGTTTCCACATGTACATGCCTTTGTCATTTCACCATTGGAGGTTAACTTCTTCTCTTCCTTCTCTCCTTCTCCTTTCTCCTCCACCCTCATTTTTCTTTCCTCGTTTTGACATAGGAGGCCCCAAAGGTCAAGACGAGTCAGCCATTATCACATAACTAGTATGTGGAAGAACAAAGATTTAAGCTTTTAGATGCAGACACCTGAGCCCAGGAGCACGAACACCATGTTTGACTGCCTTCAAATACAGGAAAATCCTAGACTGACATTTTGACTTACTGATCTCTTACTTCTTTTATTTTGTCACTTTAAATGTGATAGCACTAACAGGGGTAGAATTGTAAAATGAGTTAAATTATGGAAACAGAGTTTATAAAATTACATTTAACCCTCTCTCTATTTTGTTTTGTTTGCTTGACAGAAAACTGTTTCCCACTTTCAATTTTATAAACCAGGCAACTCATAGCAAAGTATATTATAAGATAAAAAATCTAATAAAAATAGAAACCCCAAATTCCTAATGTATAGCACTGTGGTATGTAGTATTTTGTTTCCCAATGCCAATTGACAATAAAAAGTTTCTCTTCTTTAAGCTACTTCTAGGGTTAACTTAAAGGGGTTCAGACTCTTATCTTTTTCTTTTCTTCCTTCTTTCCTTCTTTCTTTCTTTCTTTCTTTCCTTCCTTCCTTCCTTCCTTCCCTTCTTTCTTTCTTTTTTTTTTGAAACTCCATGTTTGTTTGCTTGACTGTTTTGAGACAAGGTTTCATGTAGTCTAGGTTGGCTTTGAGCTCTTTGTGTAGCTGAGGATGACCTTGAACTTCTGATCATCTTGCCACCACCTCCCAATTCCTGTCTGGGCATCAGACTGTTTAGAGAGAGAAGAGATCAACTACCACATCACTTATTACTTTGAGAAGTACTGGGGGAAACAAGATAGTTGGCACCATGTTAATGATTTATTTGTGGCTTAAACAACTATTTTTAATTAATTGATCAATTGATCTTGAGACAGGTCTCACTTGTATCCCAGGTAGTCCTTGAACTTTCTTTCGATCCTCCTTTTCAGCCTCCTAAATACCCATTTTAAATAGTCATCTCCAGCAAATCCCTTGCTGACCCATTGTTCAATTCTCTTAGCTATCTCAGACATGCTACAAAGTAGATGGGCCTAATAAATTTTACAATAGTAACCAGTACTCATGAGTTGATGAAAGCTGAGAGTATAACTTGAATACATACATATTTTAATAATTTTCTACACCTCTTGACTGACTCTAATGGCCATATAGATTGCTGAGCTAAATTTATTATGTAGTGTTGCTTCATGGTGCCATTTGTGAACAGGTGGAGTTTAATTGTAATGAACGTTAAAGGGCAGCTGCAGCTTGCATATTGAATACTGATGTTGACAACTGTTCAATTACAATGTCATTTTAGTATAGGACATTTCATTTGTATAATTATAATGAACTTTAGATAATTAAGAAAAATGATTGTGAGCAATTTAAGGCCATACATAATCTGAGATTCACCTATGTGTTAAATTAAACAAAACCTTAAATCAAGCTGAAATTAATGGCAAAAGTGAGTGACAGGACTCTCCCATGCAGGTTCCTAAGTCTGCTCCAGAAGCATGTATGGGCTTCTAAGGAAAACTGAAAACTTGAGTTCTTCTTGACTCAAGATTGCAATTCTTCTTTACCCCATTTTTCAAAAGTACAACTCTCCAATAGGCCTTCTTATCTACATATTTATTGTACTGGAGTACATACAACATAAAATTTATTTAACTATATCTACACTGTTGTGCAGCTATTGTACCACAAACCTCTGGAACTCTTTATGCTTAAAAATTGAAACAATAGGGGTTATTTAACAATAACCCCTATTCCTTCAGCCCTCGCACCCCAAGTTCCTGGCAACTAGCACTCTACTTATTACATTTTCTGTCTCTGAATTTGGTCATTCTAAGTATCCCATAGAAATGGAATCATGAAGAATTTGTTTTTCTTGAGGTGTTATGTATATATTGTATATGTATGTGTTCATGTGGGTGTCTGCACACATGTGGAACCCAAACCTTCAATAGCTTCTCTGCTTTATTTTGTGAGATAAGGTGTTTCATTGATTGTCTAGACTGCCTGGACAATACACCCCACACCCCAGAAATCTTTTATCTGTCTTGCCAGCCGTGGATTTATAGGTGCCTGATACCACATCTAGCTTTTTACATGGAGAGTGAGATAACCTCACTCTCTCAGATAAAGCACTTTACCAACTGAGCCATGTTCCCAGCCCTAGCATACGGATCTTTGTGTGTGTGTGTGTGTGTGTGTGACCAGCTTTTTCCATCCCGTGTCCTCCAAGTTAATCCATGATGTTGCATATTTCAATATTTTAAAGGTCAAATAATACATTGCACATGAACATACCACATTTTCTTTATTCATTTGTCAATGAAAACTCGAGTTTCTTTGACATTTTAGCTACTGTGGATAATGCAGCAATGAGTATTCGAGTGCAGCTACCACGCAAGATCTTCATTTCAGTTCTTTGTGGTGCGCATCCAGAAGTGGAATTGCTGAATCATATGGTAATTCTATTTTTAAATCTCCAAGGAACCACCATACTCTGTTCCTCTGCAGCTGTTACCATTTTATATTCACACCAGGAGTGCAAATATTCCCATCTCCACACCCTTCCCAACACTTGTTGTTTTCTGTTTCTTGATAATCGCTATCGTATGCTTTGGGTCTTAATAAGATATCCCTTACTTGTGGAGGGTTTGAAAGCAAGTACAGAGAGAAGCAGTTTTATATCTTGCTTCTTGGGGAAAAAAAACCCTCATAGTTTCCTCAAACTCTGAAGAAAAATGCAGTGATCATATTTTGGACTTTCACATGATAACAAATAGACTGAAATTAAAATGTAACAGAATATTTTAAAATTAGGACTGCCCTAGAAAACCTGGATAATTATAGCTATAATATATTTTGAGCACTTACTATATAACAGGCACTGGGAGAAATACTTCTCGTGTATATTATCTCACTTAATCTTTTCAACACCCCAAAGAGGATCTTCAATCCCCATGTCTCTAGAGAAGAAAACCAGGGTGAAGAGAGTTTAAGAAAACTATTCCTCAAGGCCATTGAGCAATTAAATGGAAGATCTGCAAGTAAAATCCATGTCTAACTAATGCAAAGAACCTATTGTCACCAACAGGTCCTGTCTAACTTGAAGATGTTTATTTATTTGTAGATGACATATTCAGTTATCACCCACCTTAGAGGAGTCAAATTGGATCTGACCTGGAGGCGTCCTCCATGAGGACTATCTGTCATTAGTATCAGAAGGTGCTATGCAAGCTCTCAAGGGAGAAAAGCAATCAAAAGTCCTACCAAAAAGTCCTACCAAACTGTGACCCCTATGAACCACAACATTGATTAGCATGGCAAGATAGCTCCAAGAATGCAATAGTGGGAGTTATATCTTGGGTACATCCAATAGCTGTGTGAATAGACCTAAGGTCCACTCAATAGAAGGGAAATCATGCCTGGTACTGCAAACATAGCCAGTTACCTGCCACTGGTGAGGTCATGGACCCTAGAGGAGAACCTCCTACCACCACTCTCCTAAGCCAGCGTAATTTATAATTACATTCTAAACACACATCCCTCTACTCACAGGTAAGTGGGATTCTCTCCACTCACCAAAGAAGTTTCTTTTTGAAGTAAATGGGGACCATTACAGAAATCCACAACTAATCAAAATGCAAAGAACTATTGACTCTAGGGTACCCATATCAACTGCTAAATCTACAACACAATCCCCACATCTAAGGCTCAGGAAGTCTTATGGAACAGGAATGGAAAGACTGTAAGTGCCAGAAGATCACCATGTATACTGCCAAGTAGTGTCTTTTGTATATGACAGTGAGCTGCACCCACTAAATCTTTCTCTTTGAGACAGGGTTTCTTTGTGTATTCATGGCTGTCCCAGAAGTGTCTCTGTAGACCAGGTTGGCCTTGAACTCATAGATCTGCCTGCCTCTGCCTTCCAAGTGCTGGGGTTCAAAGCATGCATCACCTTTGCTCAAGCACACCCATGAAATCTTAACAGCATGATTTTCTAAACAAGACCCGCGGAATCACAACACCAGTTGACATGTCAACATGGGTGAGGAAAATCTCACAAGGCCCTGCCTGCCCCTATATAAAAAGCTACAGGCAACAAATGACTGCTGGGTGTGGGGGACTCAGTCTTCTCCAGGGAGGAGCCAAGCCCCTGACAGGTTAGCCAATCCCAAGAGATAAGCCCTAAACACATATACCTCTGAGCAATACTAACTCGAGTCAAAAGCTGTATTTATATATACGTATATGTGCGCATATGAAGCCTCTCTCTCTCTTTGTGCCAATAATTAAGGAATGTGTCATGAATTTGGGAGGAAGTAGGGAGGAGACATGAAAGAACTGAAAGTAATAGAGCTACGAACAGTACTCACATATGAAGTTTTCAAAAATGTTTAAAAATTTTATAAAGAGCCGGGCGGTGGTGGTGCACACCTTTAATCCCAGCACTCGGGAGGCAGAGGCAGGCGGATCTCTGTGAGTTCGAGGCCAGCCTGGTCTACAAGAGCTAGTTCCAGGACAGGAACCAAAAAAGCTATGGAGAAACCCTGTCTCGAAAAAAAAAAGAAAAGGAAAAGAAAATTTTTATAAAGAAAAATAAGTAAAGTGGCACCTACCTAAATGTTCTCATGTGTGCATAAACTGCACAAATTTTGGTATGTCCAAGGACAGTGTTAATCAGGGACAGAATGTTTGGACATTCTCTCTTTCATTTCTTGGGGAAGAGGTGAACAGCCCATCTATCTAGTATCCATTCCTATCTAGCCAGGTTAGGTTCTGAAAAGTAAACTTCAATGCCTCATGTTATTTTCATTTCTAGAAACAATTCCAACAGAAATATGCATTGCACACTAGGTATAGTTGCTTAATATTGTTATTATTATTATTATTATTAATATCATCATCACTTTAGTTTTTGGAGACAGGGTCTCACTGTATAGCTAAAACTGACCTGAAACTCCCTATGTAGCCACTCTAGCTTCAAATTCCTGATCTTCCTGCTTCCACATCGTGAGTACTGGAAATACAGGTGTGCGCCATCATGCTCCACTCTAGATGGAGTTTTCAAAGCATTTTAAAAATTGTTCATCTGTGAGCAGCGGAAATCACCTCATGGCCCCCTACAGTTGCCTACGTACCACATATACCAGGCACGATCTGTGTGATTTGCCAGCGAGCGACTTTCTAACCTTGACATTCAATGGAAGAACCTGTAAAAATAGTTCTACAGTAAACAATAAGACTGGGTTTTGGCAGGATGGCAATTTGCTGGCCTTTTTTCATTTTCCCCTTGTGCCATCTCTGGTGTCTACTTGACTGTTCATTTTTCTCACAAAAAGAAAAACATAGAAAAAAGAAAATTCACAGCTTTTCAGAAGAAATTGGCCACTTTCATACAGCAAGCTGTTTCTATTTCCACAATTACTGATCTTAAAACTTAGACTCTGGTGTCACATGCTTGGGGAAACTTTGTGTGACCACTCAAGCTAAAGTACCCCCCCCACACACACACACAATGTTATCCTCTTTTACTTTTCTCATAGCACCCGCTTCTTACAGGTTGACATCATCCTGTTTATTTATTTGTACACTGCTAATTTTTCTGCTGGATGGTTAGTCCCTCAAAATTCCTGGAATCCAGCATAATGCCTAACATGTAGTTATTTAGTAGGGCATTTGTCAAATAAATATCCTCAATGAAGTAGGGATCCTCAAGTCAGGGTGGAGACACACAGCTGATAAAATTAGAGTCACCTCAAGGAAAGCTGAATGTTGGCTAGTGCAATGCATCCAAATATGGTAAAGTGGATATGAATATGGAACGGTGTGTAACTAGGTTATATAACACCACTCTTTCTTTCTTGAGCAACTATTGTATTCAGGGCATTATGCTAAGCTCTCCATTTGTAAACTACTTGTTACTGAGCTCTGGAGCCAATTCCATTGGTAACCTCCAGTTTCATTTATTTTATCATATTTTTGAGTGACTACAGGCCAGGCATTGTTCTTTCCTGGGATATAGCAATAATCAGGACATCATTTTTGTCCTTCTATAAGAGTAAGAAACTCTACACAATAACTTCGTGAAGATACCATTATTGCCTCATTTTCCAGAGCAAGAAACAAGAGCTCACTGAGATCAAGTGGATTGCCCAGTGCCATGTACTTTTTTTTTTTTTTTTTTTTTTGGTTTTTCGAGACAGGGTTTCTCTGTAGCTTTTGGTTCCTGTCCCGGAACTAGATCTTGTAGACCAGGCTGGCCTCGAACTCCCAGAGATCTGCCTGCCTCTGCCTCCCGAGTGCTGGGATTAAAGGCGTGTGCCACCACCACCCGGCCATGTACTTCTTTCTTGTTGCAGAATATGCAATGGTGCTTCTTGTGCATTCCATATGCTCTGCCTTCAATTAGGAAATAGGCCTCTGCCAACACTGGCAGCTCAGCCACTCTCAGGTCATAGGTTTGTCGGAGGATCTGGCAAGGAAGCAAGCAGAGGTGTTCCTACATGATCCAGAACATGATGCACCAGTAGACTAATGCTATGGAACAGTTATACCAGAGTTGGCAAATTAAGAGTTCTTTGAATACGAATGTGATATGGATATGATAGTGAATCTAGCTAATAAGTGCCTAATGGGAAGGTAGTATATACAACAAGGATATGGACAGAAAGATGATTGATATTTCTAGAATGATCTTATAATGTTTTATTATGTTATTTAGAACATACAGTAATTTAAAACTTCTTATTAATTATTTCTGAATTTTTCCATTTAATATTTTCAGACTATAGTTGACCTCAAATAACAAATTGTGTAAAGTAAAACCTCAGTTAAAGATGTCCCACTGTATTGAAGAAGATATACATTAAAAAGAAAACAGTATATATTTGCACTTTTTTTCATTTAAAAATGATTAAACACAAAGCAATTAGAAGCTGAGGAAAGAAGCTACTGTGTTTGTAGAGAAATATTAAAACCATATCTCAATACAGGCAACTCAAATTATGATAACACATATATTGTACTATCAGTTTTATCATTATATATCTTCTAGGTTCAATACAGAACTCAAAGCTATACAATGTTCTGTTCTTATTCCGAATTTTACTGAACCTATTTATTTATTGCTTTTGCAAACCAATTTTTCTTAACTTTTTTCATTTTTGTCTCATAAAATCTTGAAGGTAGAAAAGGGAAAAGTACTATCTTTGTTTACAAAAGTAGAAATTTAAGCTAATGTGGGCAAGTAATATACCAAAATAATTACAGTTTTGGCAGTAAAACTTAGTCCACCCCAAAAGTGTCACATTTCTTTGTATCATAACAACAGATTCAGTCTGTATGAGCGTTCGCCTTTTCAGCTATCTCAGAATTCCGTCCCGCTCACAGTTATTAGAGGTCCTAGCAAAAAACAGAAACAAAAACAGGATCATCACTTTCAGGGTAAGTAAGTCCTTCT